GTATTTTAAAAAATTCTGCTTAGATAGTTGCGTAAAAACCATAATTGCAAATGATTATTAGCCAGTAATTACAAACTTGAATTGGGTGGAAGCAGTACTTTTCTGAATTTCCTTCTAAAAGGATATGTCAATTGCTCTTAATTATTTTGACATAAGACCTGTCTATGCTTCACTTATCAAACGATGACAAAACTTCTGAACAGCCTATTTTTTGTAACTGTTGTAGGTTTATTGGAATATACAATAGGGATATACAAGCTCTATTTGTTTGGGTGCACTGTGCGTTGAAGCTCTAATTTGTTTTGTTGTGTCCTTTACTTCCAGACTTTTCAATTAGTTAAGCTTTTTGGCAACAACCTTATTGTTAATATTGTTGTTATTTATCAATTTTATTGAAATAAAATATGATAATTATGACTACAATTAATATGTAATTAATATTTTGCTTTTTTTAATCTTAATAGTTCATGTTGCTGTATTTTTCCAATCCTTGATTGTTTTCCTAATTTTACTTCAAACTTGATTAATGGAATAAATAAAATACAGGAATAGGAATAAATGAAATACATAATTTTAAATGGTAACATTTTTTTATTAGGTTTCCTCTGTAATCAATAGGCCTATGTTTATATTAAACCCTGATTTTGCATCCTTTTTCTAAGGAGGAGAATACTATCACCAAAAAACCAAAGAAAGAAAGAAGTAGTTTTTCTATATAATTAATTAGTCAGTTAATAACGAAATTTATTTTCGAAATAAACATGTCTCTTATTTAATAACAGAAGACCTTCCCCTACAATACTTAATGTTAGTATCAATAACTTCTGAAACTTTCACTTGATTTCTTTGAAAATATTTAAAACAGTGTTCATGTACTTTGAACCTTTCTTTGATTTTTTTAAAAATGAAATATCATATTTAAGAAAAAATGCCTTCAAAGTACTAAATACCTTATTGGAAAAAAAAATTTATGTGTGATGGAATGACATTAGAGCAAATGTTCAATGACAGCAAACATTCAAGCGCTAGAAAGGATTCAAACGTTAGAAAACATTTAAAATGCTTGATTGAACATGAAAATTTAATTGAATGAAATATTTCAAATGAGAAACTTACTGCACACGAAGGAATCTTGACCAATAAGCTCTCATTCTTAAGTACTTGGTCACAAGTGGACAGTAATTGGATGCAGCTGTTAATTTCAGATACTATCTTTCTTATTTGTCACGAAACTCTTTAAAATGCATCCACTCCCTACAAACATAATATGTGATTACTTCAATTTTCAGAAAAACTTTTTTTCCTTCTTTCTAGTATTTAGTTTATTTTTAAGATTTATAATAAATTTGCATAAATATGTTCTTAAATCTGTACTAAAAATTCTGTGCCAATCTGTAAATTATTTTTACTAATTTCTGTCCAATTGCTGTTTTTATGTAGTAACGTATTAACTTAATGAATGCAATAAATGTTATATTTAACCAGTTTATAAGTTACATTATTATTTGCATTAATTGTTTCTCAAAACTTAAAATTCAGTCAGTTGAAGCATTTTTGCAAAATGTTTAAACAGGCTCTTGAAGAAGTTTTTGTTCATAATTTTATAATAATTTTGCTCAATTACAATATTTCATTATATTATTATGAATAATTCACATTAGTTATTATTATTATTATATCACATTAGTCATTAGGGTGCTCCACAAAAACTGCAAATGAAGTGCGCAGAACAAAGTGTTTTAACTTTGCATTAATAATAAATCTTGTGACAAAATGGAAATATAATTTAGATATAGTTAGAATAATATGCATTTTTCACAATATTATTCCCCAATACTTCACCATATTGTTCTCCTTTTACAGATTTAGAAAAAAATAATTGAAATACCCTTTCAATATTCTTCAAAAATTCTGTTGATTCACAGTATATGTAGTGAATTCCAGGTTCAAAGAGAACAAGGAGATCAGAAGTAGAAACAGCCATGAGAGAAGAAAAATGTACAATTAAAGAAAAGTATAGAACAGGGTTCGAAAAAAGTCAGAAATTTTACCCGTCCCCAAGGACGGCTTGTCCAACAATATACCCGTCCTCCTTTGAAACTAACTCGTAGCTTCTAAATAAATAAAAATATAATTTTCTCTTATTTATTGCAAACATTTATATAAATTACACAATGAATTAGTAGTTAAAGAT